TTTAGAGTTCCTTCTTGTTCTTCGTTTGGAATTTTTTTGAATTCTTGTCCGTTAATGTGTCTCCTGGTGTAGCGGCCGAGGACGTCAAGGGTAGCGCACAACCGCGTAACGGAATACCGAGGAGGAGATCCTGGCTTGTGTTGATCTGAATACGATTGTTAGCAGTTCACGATACTCATCCATACACAAAGAAGAAGAAACGATCGGTGGACGAGAAGATATAATGAACAGAAAAGGGAATCGCAAAGGAGTATAATGACAGTTAAAAGTACACGCGAGATGAGTTACAACAGTCGAATGACCTGTCTGGGTGGAGAGGCGAGGCCGACATGCCAGCTGGACAACCGGTGGGGAGCGCAGCGCTGGGGGCAACTGCAGGGAAGGGCCGAGGGAGTTGCCGATGTAGTGAGGGCAGCGGTACGAACGTTACGGCACGATACGGAGCGGGTGAGGGGATCGGCGGAAGATATTGGAAGGGACACCGGCCATCTTCACCAACATGTGGCTACGCCATCTCCATCCTAGGTCCGCGCGCCAAAAGTGCCACGGCATTCAAACAACCATGTACAGATCACGGGACGTTACACTGGTGTAGCTTCCAGTCTGCGTTATTCGCACTTTGCTCACCACATGCGGCCATTTGCCATTGGCTGCTATTTCCCTTGGAACTTGAACTTCAGTTATTTAGTTGACGGCAGTTTATTCAGTTGCCTGAATTTCCCTGACTACTGGTTTCGGTTATTTTTTTCGAATTTTTGCGCTTAGTTACCGTTTTCCTTCTAAGCGCATTGAAAGGTCTTCGATGTAATTTTCTGCTCTACCTTCTCCATATACTTTTGCGTGCATCCGATGGACCCACCCGTATAACCCCTCTTACCACCATTCCCGTTAGACAGGCTGCTCAGGTACCTGTTTCTGACCCCGGGCACAAGCCATACCCTCGCCGCCAAAAGTAACAGATTAGTCTACTTTTCTTGACATTTAGAAAGAACACATCAGTTTTTTGAGTACTTAACGTATATTCCGTACGTTTACGTTAGGTAGTGGCCCAAATGTCCTACAAGGACAGAAATCCTTAACAAAAGTTCACGGATGCCCTCATGCACGAAACCTCAGACCAGTGGTACATAAGATTTTCTTTTACGGTATGCAATCGTCGCCCTGACTTTCCTTTGAGGATGTAAGGCGGAAGTCGTTGGGATGGATGTTATTTTCGCAAAATCTACCACAGAGACATAAGGTTGTTACTGAGCGCTGAGCGCTCGGCGTTTAAACTTTACGTGCTATAGAGGCGTGGAAGCCTGTGATGTAAATAGCAATTTACCCAAAAAACGAAAAAATGAAGTATGTCCATGGAAAGATTAAAGTGGATAAGTATAAGTGAATTAGGACGTGCTTAACACTCACGGCCATAGTTCTTAAGATTCAAGCACGTGCGAAGCATACTCACTCCGGCGCTCAGGTCCTCCACACCTGACTAATATTGGCTTATTACAGCGTCTCACCGAACGAACGTGTTTTTGCTCTTTTTAAGGCCATATTAGCCTACTTTACGCACATTAATAAGTATTCAGACTCTGATTACGACTAGTTTACTATATTGTTCAGTGCTGTATTACAGACGGTTGAGTTTCGGTGGTGGCCAACCCCCTATAACCAGTTAGACCGACTGTAAATCCTGTTCCACAACCCCCTCTGAAAATGCAGGCTTGCTGTTGGATTTGTAGCCACGCCCCCTCGCATGCGGCAGTTAGCCAACAAGCCTATAAGTAAACCGATTATTATCCCAGTCTTGATGAAAACTGAGGCCCTTGTCTGGCTTTGTGAGTAACCAAAAACACGGCCAGTCATAAGTCTCTGAAATAATTAAGACCATTCGAGGTTAAAAAGTCTCTTCTCTGAGGGAAAGGAGGAACGAACAGCTGCAGACGGCCTTAAAATGTGATGAGAAGGAAAAGTAATTCAAACACTCTTGATATTTACTCGTCTCCTGCCGGATAATTGCTGCTCAATTTAACCTTTATTCATATTGTAGCCAACTACCGGCTCTTTTCGAATAAAAAACCACGGGAAATGCAGTGGATGTGCTAACTCATGAAATGTCAACCAAAATTTCGAAATGCGTTCTCGTTTCGAAAAGATAAAATAAGTAGTGTTGTAAAACTAATCACGATGCAGCATAAATCTATAATGATCCAGTTACCTCAGGGTGTCGGCTTTCGAAAGAACTTATTTTGGGCTGCATGCAAGATCTATACTCTGCAAAAAATGACAACTTATGTAACATGCAATTTTCTCATTGATTTTCGATGCCCTTGAAAATTCAATTATATTTCATAGAAAACATGAATAAAAAATATTCATTCTTCTAATTATTCGGTAGAAAACCACGTCTTCTTCCAATTTTATCCTCAAAGGAGAAGTATAATTCGGTTTTAAAAAAGTTTTTAATTGTGAGATTGTTTAAGTCCGTTAAATGGTCGTTCATGAAACGTCATGTATCTGCATTTACGAATGTGGCTTATAAAATTAACAATATAGCATGCATTTCTCTACGGTGTTAAGAGGAGACCATATGAGGTTCATAAAATTAAGCAGTGGATTTGAGCAATATTGTTAACTTTAAAAGCCACATTCGTAAATGCAGATACATGACGTTTCATGAACGGCCATATCACGGTGTTAAAAGGTCTCACAAGTAGAAACTTTGTTAAAACCGAATTACACTCCTCCTTTGAGTATAAAATTGGAAGAAGACGTAATTTGATATCGAATGAGCAAAAGATTGAATATCGTTGAGCACGTTTTCTATGAAATATAATTGGACATTTAAGGACAACGGAAATCAATGAGAAAACTGCATACTACTTAAGTAGTCATTTTTTGCGGAGTATATATCTTGCATGCAGCCCAAAATAAGTTCTTTCGAAAGCCGACACCCTGAGGTAACTGGATCATTATAGATTTATGCTGCATCGTGATTAGTTTTACAACACTACTTAATTTATCTTTTCGAAAAGAGAACGCATTTCGAAATTTTGGTTGACATTTCATGAGTTAGCACATCTACTGTAGGCTTTGGTTTTTTCAAATAATTTGGTCAACAGGGTATACACATGCGTACTTCTCTTGAAAACGAAGATTTGTTTTAGGCAATGGAAAACTTTGTTTATGTCCATACGTGAACGCATTGATCCTAAGTTCCTCATTTTAGTCTACGCAATGGCCACACTTTTGGCTTTTTCGAATGAGGGGATTATTCCTGAATGTGCAAAATGCTACTCTTCCATATAATTTTGTTGAAAGACGCCAGGGTTTAATTCGAAAAAAACCTATCCTGACAACTCTATTTGGGTAGCGACATTAATGTTAGATAGTCTGCAGGTTAGAGTAAAATGACATTTCCAAATTTCACTTAGGAATTAGGCATGTCAGAGCTATCGAGCATCAGATAAACCCAGAAATGAAAATTTTCAATGTCATGAAAGTTTCAGCAAGAATAACTGGAGTATGTTTGGTATACATAACCATATCTTACCAGGAATAGATCACACTTTACATTGAACGATGCATTTTCGTTGGGTCCATACGCTTTTCAAGTTATTTTGCTGGTTGGGAACACACAATGCGATCCACGACTGAACTCTTAAAATGGCGTTTTAATTACATAGGGGTCAATTTTCGTTGCATAAAAGTAGATTCCAAAAACGCCCATTTTTGTTGTTGGTATCAGCGCGGGCTTAACTGGGTAGATGCAAAAAAGTAACGGAGTGACAGTTAGACCATCGGTTTCGATGATGTCCACCGTGTGCCCCACAGTTGCAGCAGCGGTGGGAGCAGGGACGGTGACTTACGCAGGGGTTTATAGTGCGGGTAGACTTGCGCTGCATCTACCTACACTCTCTCCTCCTCCCTCGTCCGAGCCCGGTGTCAAGACAGAGTCAAGAAGACCGGAGACGAGGGAGGCCGCAGGTGGATGGCTCGGACGGATCCTCACCTTGGCGTTCCACCACACCCCCTGGTCCACACAACAAATAACCTGGATTTCAACCAACACAACAGAGATCTGGAGGCTGGCACGGCCGAAGCCGAACCTGGGCGTGCCGCCAACGCCTGGTTCGGATCCCACACAGTGGGAGTGCTATAAAGGCCACATTAAAAAGGAGCCATTGCAGCCTGACTCTCAGACCGCCTCCAGTCAAGGGGGAGGTCCAAGTTACCCCGTCAGTTGGCAACCTTCCAAGCCAGGGCTTTTAGCGCACCGTGATAGCTTGAAGCGCGTCAGATTGTTTATAGTGAGGAGGAAGTGCGCTGAGTCGTCGACCTCACTCTCCCTTCCCACTCCCACACCCCAGCCGCTGTCCGAGCCGGTCAGCAGACTGGAGTGAGGAATGGGCGCGGTGGCTGTCATGGTCGACTGGCCATGACTGCGCGCGCCACGGCACGACCTGGCCCCCGATACACACAACACCAGGATTTCACACAACGGGGGTTGAACGGCGTGAGAGTGCCGTGGAAGGTGCTGTTTCAGCCCGTCCCCAGCCCACCAGTCCGACACTGCACACAACACACACACACACACACAACGCGACGAACTGCGTGAACCGAGAGCGGGCGTCAATCAGTAACCTTCCTATCCACGACGCTTGACGTGTCGGGATAGTCTCGGACTCAAGTCACCCGTGCAGCCGAAGCCGCATGGGGACCGAGTCGAGATGCGGACTTCCCACTTGCGTGGGAGGTGGCAGTTGGGTGCATGAGGTGTGTGAGTGTTGATGTCTGGTGGGGTGATGATGGTGGTGGTGGAGGAGGAGGTAGGGAGTGAGCGAATGTGTAGTGTAACCGGCGATTGTCTACCGCAGGTCGTCGTGGATGCGCATGTGGCCGAATAGGCCCATGCGATGCCTGAAAGTGCGAGTGCAGTGTGGGCAGTTGAGACGAGCTTGGTGGGTATAGGTGGATGCTCCAGGCACTGGTTCGCCAGTCTCTGTGCGATGGATTCACAAGTGACCGACCAGGCCGATGCGTGAGGTGACTGTGCGTGGACAGTGTTGGCATGAGAAGTCGGCGGTGTCAGTGTCAGCTACAGAGGAGGCGGTGGTGGTGGTGGCGCGGACGGATGGAACGAGGGTGCGGGTGGGCACGGTGGATGTGTTGGATGTGGTGGGTGTGTCGGGAGTGCGGTCAAGGCCGCTCTCGTGGATGCGCATTTGGCCGAAAAGGCCTATGCGATGCCTGAAGGTGCGAGGGCAGTGTGGGCAGTGGAAGCGAGTGCGGTGGGTGTAGGTTGGTGCCTCAGGCACTGGTTCGCCAGTCTCTGTGCGATGGATTCGCAAATGACCGACCAGACCGATGTGTGAGGCGAAGATGCGGTCGCAGTGAGGGCAGGTGTAGTCCCGATCCTCATCGCTGGAGTCGGGGGAGGTGGTAGTAGTGTCGGTTGTTGCGTGCAGGACAGTCGCCTGAGCGGCCGCCGTTGGAGCAGTGGGCGAGGAGGAGGAGGAGAAGGAGGAGGAGGAGAAGGAGGAGGATGGAAGTGGTGGGTCAGAAGAATTGTCAGAGTTAGTTGACGGCGGAGAGGAGGAGGAAGAGGCGGGCGGGGGGACAATGGTTGGTGCCGTTCGAGAGGCGCAATTAATCCGAAGATGTCCAACAAGTCCGATTCGAGCCCGGAATTTCCGCTGACATCGAGGACACGTTGGAAGCGGTTGTGCGGCGGCGTTGCTTACTGGGCGAAGTTGGGATTTGCGGGCTTCACGTTTCACTTTGGCGGCAGCGATGCGGTTGGCTTCTTAGATCGCAGCGCCTGTCTTCACTGTCCTCCTCCAGGTCGGTCGATCGAGTGTGAGCTCCTCCCAGTTGGTGGGGTTGATTTGCAGGCGTTTCAGGGAGGACTTCAGGGTATCATTGTAACGGCGAATCTGGCCTCCTTGACGGCGAGAACCCGTCGCGACATCTCCGTAGAAGAGTCGTTTGGGTAGTCGCTCGTCGTCCATGCGCACCAGATGGCCGCTCCAGCGCAGCTGCATTTGCCTCAGTATGGCGTAGATGCTGAGGATTCCCGTCCGTTCCAACACATCAGTGTCGGGGATTCGATCCTGCCACTTCAGCCTCAGGATGCGACGAAGACAACTGAGGTGGAAGTGGTTCAGACGACGTGCCTGCTTTGCGTACACCGTCCAAGTCTCCGCTCCATACAGTAGCGTCGGCAGGATGACGGCCTTGTACATCTTCAGCTTCGTGCTCAGTTGGAGACCATGACGATTCCAAACTGTGCTTTGGAGGCGACCGAAGGCTTGACTGGCTTTCGAGATCCTGTTGGCGACTTCGTCGTCGATCTTGGTGTTGCGGAGAGAGTACTGCCCAGGTACGGGAAGTTCTCCACCACTTGCAGGTGGGTCCCATTCACGCTGATTTGCGGCGGCGCGTTGGGGGCTGTGGCCGAGTTGGGTGGCGGTTGGTGCATCACCACCGTCTTCTGTGTGTTGATGACTAGACCGAAGTTCTCGCAGGCGGCAAGGAAGAGGTCCATGCTCCGTCGCATCTCCTCTTCCGGGGTGGCGTTCAGGGCGCAGTCGTCGATGGAGAGAAGTTCGTGAACGGTGGTTGTGGAGACGCGCGATTGGAAGTGCATCCGCCGTTGATTCAGGAGGTGACCGTCCGTCCTGTAGGCGATGCGGATCCCGGGATGCTCATCACGATAGGCGTCCATCAGCATGGCAGAGAACATAAGACTGAAGAGGATAGGCACCAGTACGCAGCCCTGCTTCACGCCATTGGTCACTGCGAATGCCTCTGAGACAGCTCCGTTGTCCGTGACTCGCGCCATCATACCGTCGTGCAGCTGACGCACCAGCTGAGTGAATCGCTCCGGACAGCCGAATTTCTGCATGATCCTCCACAGTCCTTCACGATTCACCGTGTTGAAGGCTTTCATCAGGTCCACGAAGGTAGAGTACAAGTCGGTCCGCATCTCTTGACACTTATCCTGAAGTTGACGGGCGGCGAAGATCATATCCGTGGTCCCACGATGACGACGGAAGCCGCATTGGCTTTCCGGCAGAAGGCCCTGTTCCAGATGGTTATTGAGGCGGTTGAGAAGGATGCGGGCGAAGATCTTCCCGGCGATGTTCAGCAGGGAGATGCCGCGGTGATTGTCGCAGACTTGGCGATTCCCTTTGCGCTTGTACAGATGCACGATGGTTGCGTCTTTGAAATCTTGCGGGACTTCACCTTGACGCCACATCTCCTGGAAGAGCGCAGTCAGGTGATCCATCGGTGGGGGACCTCCGTGCTTGTAGACCTCAGCAGGGATTGCGTCCGATCCGGGTGCTTTCCCGCTGGAGAGCTGCTGCACGGCCCTGATGGTCTCCTGGAGAGATGTCGGGAGGTCCAGGTCTGCGTTGGTCTCCACTTGCGGAAAACGCTCGATGGCGGCGTCGGAGATGCCGGAGGGGCGGTTGAGGACGCATCGGAAATGCTCGCCCATCGCTGCAGGAGTTGCGTCTTCTCAGTCAGGAGAGTGTTGCCGTCGGCGCTGAGGAGAGGAGCAGTACCCTTCGTCGGCGGACCGTAGACAGCTTTGATCGCAGAGAAGAAGTTCTTCTATTCGTTGTGGTCCGCGTATCCTTGGATCTCCTCAGCTTTGTGAGAAGTCCAGGCGTCCTGCATCTCGAGCAGTCGTTGCTGAAGTTGGCGGCGACTGCGGTAGAAGGCAGCTTTGGTGGCATCAGTGGGCTGATCTACGTAGGCTTTGTGGAGGCGGTTCTTCTCAGCGAGCAGATTTCTGATGGCGGCGTCGTTGTCGTCGAACCAGTCCTGGTGTTGGCGGGGAGCGCGACCGAGGACGGCGAGCGCCGTCGACTGGACCGTGTCTCGCAGTTGACACCAGCGGTTCTCCACCAAGGCGTTCTCGGCAGCGGCGGTGTCGGCTGCGATAGGAAGGTTGTCTAGCCTTTGAGCTAGCTCATTGCTGAAAGGAAGATGGTGAGCGGGCAAAGACAACAAGGCAACATTCAGCTTACCTGGGGGTCGCTTACCTTGTGGTCTCCTGCGAGGCTGTAGGCGAATACGCATCTTCGAGATGACGAGGCGATGGTCGGTCCACCCGACAGCGCCAGCGATCGCCTTTTTCATCAGTACGTCCCGCTGATCTCGCCTCCGGACGAGGACATAGTCCAGCAGGTGCCACTGGCGCGACCGAGGATGCCTCCAGGTGGCCTTCTCCCGCTCCGGCATGCAGAAGAAGCTGTTCTTCAGGATGAGGCGGTGTTCTGCGCAGGTGCGGAGCAGCAGCAGACCATTGTCGTTTGAGCCGCGGAGACCGTGGGGACCCAGCACTCCTCTCCAGGCAGTATGGTCTGTGCCGACGCGGGCGTTGAAGTCGCCAAGGACAATCAAATTGTCCGCCTTCGACACAGTCGCCAAGAGGGCGTGCAGGTCCTCGTAGAATTTGTCTCTGACGGCGTCGGGGTTGGTCATCGTCGGAGCGTAGGCGCTGATGATGGTGGCGAATTTGCCTCTCCAGAGAGGCAGGCGGAGGCTCATCAGGCGATCGTTAATGCCCTGCGGCAGACTGGGCAGTCGTCCCACGATGTCGTTCCGAATGGCGAAGGCGACACCCGCGTCCCTGCCCTGGGTCGACCGCTGCAGAAGAAGGTGTAGTCGGCATCCACCTCCTCCAGTTGGCCTTGTTCGGAGAATCGGGTCTCGCTGCGTGCGGCGATGTCCACATTGTAGCGCGCCAGTTCTCGTGCCACTAGCGCCGTCCTCCGTTCCGGTCGGTCGCTCCTCGGATTTTCTAAAAGGGAACGAACATTCCAGGCTGCCAGAGTGAGCGGGCTCACCCTGCCAGTCTGGAGAAAACGAGTGGGGCGACGGGAAGGAGGTGGAGAAGAAGACGACGAAGGAGAAGAATAGACAAAAGAATAGACGGAGGAAGAGGAAGAAGAGGTAGGATGAGGAGAATGAGTATGACTACTGTTGTTATTGGTATTGTTGATGTTTCGATTTTGATTGTTTCGACCATGATTAGACGTCTGCGGCCCTGGCTAGCCTGAAGACGGCGTCGTACCCAGCAATGTTTAGGCCACCTTTTCCAGGCCCTTCCCCTCGTGGGGGCTGGCAGTGTCATCCCTGAATAGGGCCGCCATGTGCCGTTGTGGCACGGCCGAACTCCACTATAGGACCACGACTTCGGGTTGTAGTGGAGAGCGACTCGAATTCGCCGTAAGCCGCGGTCTCCGACGGCGTAGGTGGGCGCGTCAAGGCGATGTCGATGTGGAGATCCATCCCGTCACCGGCTGTCCAGCGGCGTGCAGAGACGAACCACGTCACGACGGTGCCGACGCAAGGTTCCATCCGACCTTCCATCCAGCGGAATCCGCAAACCCTGTGCACACGGCACAACGCACAGGGCCCCCTCACCTGGTTTAGCCCGCCGGTCGAGACGGTTGCCCGGGGTGTGGCCGCTGAGCAGAGCCCAGCTACGTGGAGCCACAGGTGAGAGTTGAGTGCCAGCAAGTGAACGCTAGGCGCAGTCTCACCTGCAAGCAAGTGAGCGACCACCACGACCATCACGTGAACCCACCGCTGGCACCCCTACATCTGCGGATACAGGGATATTAAACAGCTCACAGCCCTGAATTAGACTTTAAGTATCAGTTGGTTGCAGGTGACTTCGATTTTCTTGAAGTCCGCTAGTCCCCGCCAGTCGGCCCGAAAAAAAGTCCGCAGACATACCCGAGGCTGTGGATGTTGGTATGCGAAGTCAGGCTGTTTACTTTCCCATCCGAGCACTGCTATAAGTGGTTAGCCAGGGAATTAACTTTTGACTGTTATTTAGGCTGTAAGGCAGCAGCAGGGCCAAAATGGCTTGATGAAGTAAATTAAATTAAATTTCAAGGAAAGAATTTGCAGACTCTGCACAGCACTGCGTCCTCAAGCCTATGTCTTTCGCCCCAAAGTTCCTAATACCGTTCTTGTATGTTTGAACTTTTTGTTAATTTCGGCAACTTAAAGAGGACGGCGCATACTTTCGCAGTAAGATAGTAGGGCGGTTGATTACGGCTTGCAGTTCCAATGCACGCAGACAATATTGCCCACGCATTCGGTTATAAAAAGGCCCCTGCATCGAAGCCTCATGTGCGCTTATAAGTGTCAGGTTGCATTTGCTCTTTCTGAAGTAAAAGCGCCAAGAGTGCGTTCCTGCCGTAAAAGGCGTCCTTTTCAATTCCTAACCAGAAAATCCGAATGATAGGCAAGACTTGTGTACCCTTTCAAGAGGCGAAATTGTGCATGAAGGGGGATGCATCCGGAATTGTGGAGGGCAGGACGGCATGTACAAAGTGATATGATGCCACCTGGTGTGAGCGTGCTTAACCGGCCGTTGGTATAAAAAGTAATCCTGCAGCCAATCAAAATTCCTTTAGTCGTATGGAGATCATGATTCTGAAAGCCGGCCTCTCTTCCATTGCGGCCTGAGAACGCCAGTTGGAGCTTACTTTCTTTGAAAGATCTTCGAGCCCTAACGATGCAAAACTCTGAAATGAACTGGTTGTAACCGCCAAATGGACAGAATTAAAACAGTGGGCCTGCGATAAAATACAAAACTTTTATAAAGAGTCAATCCTGTCATTGTCCGAGCGAACATTTCTGAACTCTATTCCTTGCATGGTTACCTGTGGCGCCATAAATTGCAGAGGTATTCAGTGTGTACCCAATGTAGCTACCAAACACCGTGTAGTCGACTAAATGATCTCTAGGGATGATTCAATAAAAGACGAACCTTCGAAATGGAGGCATTGGCGTTTTGATCACAGCCGAGCACCCCTGAAACAACAATTTCGCCGATTGAATATCTCTGCGGGTCCACAATTACTCTGCAAGCCAGGATGCGGGGAAATAACGCCATAATTCATGAGGTGAGAGGAGTCGTAGATCTAATCGGCCTGCGATGTTAGGGATACCAACGTAGTTCAACAGAGGCCGATAAGCCTAAACAAATGTGAGGCATGAGCCTATTTGGATGAACTCCAAGCAATCGGGCACACGCGTCGGCCGAAA